TAATGATTGCTAGCCTGTCAATTTGTAGAGCAATTTGTAACTCAATTCCTTATAATGCCAGATACCTACAAAGATGTATTGCAATGAAATCATTGTGTGATAATTCATTCCACCCTTCCAAAATGAGCTTTTAATCAGCTAAGAAAATGTAATAGACCTATTCATCAGGTGTGTTTAATGAATGAGTTTTAAATAACACGGGATCATAGAAAACATCTTTGAAACCTTTGAACACAAGCTTTGTTTCTTTAAAAACAAATCCATTCGAGAAAAAAATTGCACTTCATCACATTGTTTATAGACTACAAAGATATGACTTCCTGGTAATAATTTATAAAGCAATGAAATGAAAGTATGCAAATTTTCAAGAAGCATTCAACATAAGAGGCTTTTCTTGTTTAGAAAAGTTGTCTCTTTAATCCCTTCAATTCACTGAGTTAACACTGAGCATTGAAAGGTACTCCATGTTGTAGAGTAAAACTGTGAGTTAAAGCTCTGAATTTGGGCAAACACACAAGCTGGAGGGACAGATGGGGGAGCTGCATGCAACCATCGGCAGAGCCCTCTCCTTAAAAGAGAATATGCCATAGTGAGAGATAGGAAGATATTTCTTCTGCTGGTGTATGGGGAACAAAGAGTACTGTGACCATGACGTTGTGAATGAGTCCAAAGGACAAATGGCAAAAGGTGCATAGAGTTGTTGCAAATTTCATAATCTAAACTGCCTTCCTCAAATGAGAGTTTAGAATTATAAAGCTACATGGCCATCTAGTTGGCACAAAAGCATGTTGCTGTAACCATTGATTCATTTCTTGACTTCTTTTTTTCTTTTGCCAGTGCTTGTCTTTTAGCTATATTCCAGTCGCAGACCACAATTCTACCTTTCACTGTGTTCATTCTGCTGGAAACCTGGCAGGACCCATCATCCCACGCTTACCGGAACACATCAATTTTGGAGCCAGTTGCTCTAACATTTGGCAACATTAGGATCCATGGAATAACCCCTAAAGTATCTGCAGTGGCTCTACTCATGTTAGTACCTATAAAAATAACAGTTACTGAGCACCAACTATGTGCTGAGCACAACTTTAGAAACTTAAGATGCATTAAGGAACAGACAGACAAGGATCCTGAGGTGTCCGACTTTGAGCCAAAATCCTACATGTGCTCTTTCAAGACAGACCTTTAGCCAATCACAAAGACTTCACCTGACAGGCATCATAAGGACTGAGGGAGAGGAGCGGCCCTTCCCTCACTAAAGTTGGTGCACAGCCAAAGCATTGCATCCTCTGAAGGAAGCTGCACTCAGGGACTCAGGAGCATGCCCCTGGCTGGACACGCTCTTACACATACCCATTTTCCTAGCCTACGTGATTCCAGTTGGAGGCCCGCTTACCTGTCGGGAAGAGGGTGGGAGGGCTCAGCTGAGACACTGTTCAGACACCTCTGCTAAGACCTCCTAATGGGTGTGGGGCAAGAGGAGGGGCTTAAAGCTAAAGACACCTTTCTCTACTGTGACTCAGTTCTCAGTACTTTTCCCACTCCTAGCCCTTCCTGCCTCCTCCAATACCCCACTCCATAAAACAGAAGGAGCCTTTTGTTCAGTGTCCCTTCAGCAATGAGATGATTTTCCTGTGTGAACCACTCCTAGAAAAACAAAAATGGAACAATGGGGAAGCCAGCACCTTCTCTTATTGGTCTCTTGCTTCTACTGTTGCAATAAGTAAATAAAGGCCGTAATCCTTGGCCCATTGTCCAAATTAACCACATTGGCACCTGGCAGTTTTCAAACAGGTGCCTGTCCTTCAGAAGCTTACATTCTAGATTACTCCTCTGACTTGGGTTAAGCATTAAAGATTGTTCAAAAGTAAACATCAGGAAAAAGGTAGCACGTTAATTTGTTATTAGTAATTAGTAATGCAACTTAAATTTTAATTTCAGAACCAGTAGTCAGGGAAGGTACAAAACACAAAATGCCCAAAGTTACAGGTTCTGGGAAGCATTTTCTGAAAAGTCTTAGTAGTCATGAGACATTATTATAGGCCATACATCTGGGAGTGATGGGTTCTCTTACAAAGGGAGGTAGCTAGTTATTTGATTTAGGTTGGTTCGATTCAGTTTGTTGATTTTGCCTACCCACATTTTTTTCTTTCTGAAACTGCCCTTCTCCATCAGTGGGTACCAGACTTAGGTAAACTCACAGTTAAGGGCACAGTCCTCCAGACTGCTACATCTAGCCAAAATTTCTCACACCAATTGCAATGAGAATATCCAGCTTCAAAGTCTAAGGAAACAGTGCTCACAAGCCTGGCCTCAATTCAGACACCAATTGTGAGTTTTGGGGTCCCCCACCACCATCTTTGCTTCAGACCAACTGGCTACAAATTCAGGGGTTTCTATGACCACCCTTAGGCTTGATAATCTGCTAGGACAACTCAAAGAACTCAGACAAACATTATACTTATGATTCCAGTTTTACTATAGCAAAAGAATATGAATTAGAAGCAGAGGCACTTAGGGTGAGTTCTGGGAGGATTCCAAATATAAAGTTTTCATCATCATCAAGGATGCCTTACACTCCCATTATCAAAATATAATAAAACACTCCAAGTACTGCCAACCTGGAAAACTCACCTGAACTTTAGTGTCCAGAGTGATTCTTGTAGTTTTCTTACATAAGCATGACTTAATCATTGACCACATAGTTGAACTCAATTCCCAGTACCCCCTTCTTGTCTCTATGGAGGTCAGACTGATATCCTGTGGCCCAAAGGCCCAATTCGGTAATCACACAGTTGGTCTTTCTGGAATGGTGATCCCACAACCCTGAGTCACCTCATTAGCATAAACTATCAGGTTTAGGTCTGAGGGGTCCACCATGAATAGCAAAGACACTCCTGTCACTCTGGAAGTTCTAAAGGTTTAGGGGTTTCCTCCCAGGAGCTGGGACAAAGGTCAGTAATCTCTCCGGGTCAAGTTAATATTCTATTATACAGTAGGGTTGCCAATCACCACCTGACTTAAGTTAGTCAATTGGAACACTGCATCCTCTGACAACATTCAATGATTGCTTCAAGGTTGAGTATATCACAAGCTCGGTCATGAGATGCTCCCGGAGGCTCTGCCACCAGAGCTATCAAGTTAACTTTTCTTTATACATTGGTGCTGTGATTTTAAGTGTTTGTGTATGTGTGTTTGAGAGAGGGAGACACCCTGTATCTCTTGAGTCTCTGAATTTAGCCATGTGAAAAGGAAATCTCCTTCTAGACTTCTCAGTTATAAGAGCGAATAGATTCCTTTTTTTGGAGGGAGTTGTTAATTTAGCTGGTGAGATTTCTGTCACTTGCAATCAAAAGAGCCTTGTCTAATACCTGCAGGACTCTTGTGGGTACAGAAATGGAGCTGAAGGATGGATACAAACAACCTTCAACAGCACGATGCTGCCCATGGCCTTTCTCGCTTTCTAAAAGTTTTCTAAAAGTACCACACAGTTTGTTTTCACTCTAAGTTAATCAAGTAATTAAGAAAGTCATGACATTGACTGATTACTTGATACTTTTAAAATCATATAAAGTACTATTTTAAACCAGGAAAAAATATTGGTGATTGGGGTTTTAATCCCTATCCAGCCCCATAACCATTCACTCAAATCAAAAGGAGTGATCCTATCAGTAAGCTTTGTTCATAGGAACATTGCATAAGCTGAATGGAAGGTTATTGTCACTCAAAACCAGCTTTAGAATTTGTAGTTCTAATTCTTTGAGTGGTACCACCCCTTGTTATAAACATGTGTGATATATTAATATCACGATATCATGTATATAAAAACTTCAGTGTTAAGGTACTGACGTTTACCAATGATTTAATTTTTAAATAAGTTATCATTTCACATTATCTATATTATAACTCGCTCTAGCTCACATGCATTCTGATAAAATTTCTTAAGTGAGAGAGAAGTGCATGGTATCAAAGGCAGGGAGTTGGGGGTTGGGCAAAAGCCACAGCAGAACTCACTAATGCCTCAGCCCACAGGGTGTTTTATTTCTATGAACATCACCTGTCACAGGTGGTAACTCAGAATAGAAATCACACGGAACTGCTCAGGTAAAGGAAATAAATCTGTATAGATCTTGATAGAATATCCTCTTTCTAGAAAAGCCTTAATCACAGAAACTCTCTCTCCCGTTTGTTCTTACTGTGTTTCTGCAAAGATAGTGTAAGAGATATGCACATGCAGCCCGGAAGAAGAGAGATTTTGGGAAAATATTGTTTTTCAATAATCTGACAATTCCCATGCTTTTCTTTAATTTTGAGCCAAGCATTGTTATTACCACTAACCATATTTGAAGTTGGCCTATGACTAAATCTGGGCTGCTTTATTAAATGGAATGAATACAAACAAGTTTATATAATTATTTACCACTTAATTCATTCTCACAGAAGCAACGTAGTATATGCATAAAAGCTGCCTTCACTTGGCATGAACACTATCATAATGGTTCTGAGGTCAACATCTAAAACTTGTAAGTTTCAGGTTGCAGGTGTCTGAAATAAGTTTCTTTACTCAACAAAAATAAACCTTTTGAAGTCCTCTGGTCTAGTTTTAAAACATTTTCCTCTCAGACTTAAAGGTCCTATACGCATTGAAATATTGCAACAGATAGCTGTATTCTATCAGCCTTCTCAGATTCCCTCCAATACCCTTGCCTCCCAGCACACTCTGCTACAACTAAGGACGAAGCAAACACTTATTCTGGATGTGTTGGGCTCTCCCAATGGGCACTCACCCACAGTTTCTGACTTCTCCCATCATTCAAGACTTGGCTGAAGCACCAGACTTGTAGAGCCCAGATGATGCAACCCAGAAATATGGGGAGTTTAAATTCCCACCCGGTCCTGTGCTTTCAAGAATTGATCCAAGAAAGAGGCTTGGAGGAAAATAGGAGAGAATTGGGATTCTAAAAGCAAAGCCCCAGGCTGGGTCACTGGGAGACACTTACCTGTTTAGAACGGAGAAGGAAGGCAGTGGCCATTTTGAGATTGAGAAGGCAGAAGGAAGGCAGTGGCCATTCTGAGACTGAGAAGGCAGAAGGAAGGCAGCGACCATTTTGCAGCTGACCCCTGTTGCTGATGGGGTAATTCACCACATTAGCCTGAAGCAGCATGTGGACCTGAAATTGATCTATCTTCCCAGTTTGCCTTCAGCTTGTCTGACTCCTGGGCCAGGTGTACGTGTTTAGCTCTGTGAGGAAGCACTCCGGTTTGCACAAGACCACCCTGTACATGAGAGTGAGAGGGAACAAAAATGGCTGCAGCTTCAGTCCACCCTCAAGGGCTCACAGCTTACCCATGCTCTTCCCTTTCAGATCGCCTGCCCAGTGGGCTTGAAGCTCCAGCATTACACATGGAGACAGCTTTTTGAACACCATTTTACCAACTCCCACAACTGCATAAACCAATTCCCTGGGACAAATCCCATGTAAAATCTTTCTCTTGGTTCTGCTTCTCTGGTTAAACCGTAACTGATACACCTGGGCTAACCTTTACTAATAGGAAACAAAAGACAGCAGAGAGGGAAATACAAGTCCCTCCTCTTTCCCGTTGCTCAAAGACTACTCCAAGGCATAGTACCTCACTGCAGCCCAGCTGGGGAAGCACCGAGCAGGCTCACTTGTGAGTGGCCTGGGCCACTTCCCACTCACCATGAAGAGGTAGCAAGCATGACTACATATCTTGTATTCATTTTCATCTTTCCTTCTTTCTCTTCGTTTCTTCTCATTCTTGCTTCTCTCGGTCTAAACATACCATATAAAGCATGAACCTTTATTTAGTTCTCCCTTAGAATATTTTCTGAGCGAAAAGTTTTCTTAGCATAGACAACTATGCTAAGAAAATTCGAACAGCGGGTGACAGGTGGACTAAAATCTCAGACTTCACCACTATACAACTCATCCATGTAAACAAAAACCACTTATACCCCAAAAGTCATTAAAGTAAAAAATGTATATAATCGGAATAGGAACGTGGTTCTACAAAGCAGACCTGCAGGACAGAATTTAGGGGTCACATTGCCCATTCATCTGAGCCACCTCCTTTTACCTTTTAGCCTGCTCTTTTTCTAATTGAGATTTAATGCTGGTCTCTTTTCAGATTCTCCATATTTTTCACAAGTGAACTCATCTATTTTTGTGGCTTTAAATACTTTCCTTCTGCTAATGATTGCAAAGTCTTATCTCCAGCCCAGACATTTCTCCCGGGCTGCAGATTTATGTATGCAACTGTCTTCCATGCAAACACTTCAAGCACAACATATCCTGGCCTATATTCATCTCCTCCCCACTCCCAGTCTTACCCAGTATTCCCTATCTCAGCAGAAACTAGAGTCATTTTTGATTCCTCATCACCTTCATCTTTCACATTCATTTAGACATCAAGTTCTAGCTGTTCTCCCTCATAAATATATCTCAAAACACCATTTTTCTCCATCCTAACTGCCACTACCTTCATTAATCCTATTAACCCACCACCCATTCTTGCCTGAAATCATGCCATGGCCCCCTAATTGGCTTTAATTTTCTCATCTTTCTGCTCTCAAATCCTTTCTCTGTGCTACAGCCAGCATGATATTTCTGAATGCAAACCTAATCATTATGAGGTTTAAAACCAATCAGTCTCTTCCATTGCTTTTAGTATAGAATCCAGTCTCCTTAACAGATCTAATCCGATCCTTGATGATCTGGTCCTGCTTAGCTCACAGCCATTATCATCTTCATCTTCGATTACAGCCCTAAAAAAAATTCTTTCAGTGCCTTAAAGGTAGCTTGCACTCTCTGCTCTGTGCCTTCACACAGGAAGTTCCCTTTATCAAAAAACCTTTTCTACCTTTCCCAACTCCATCCTTCAAGTCTCGAACTTGGCATCACTTTCTCCCAGAAGCCCTCTTGAGCCCCCTAGAGCAGAGGCAAGGTGATCCATTGCTCCTTGCTCTTTTTATTCTGTTACACTTATCATGCATTACTGTAATAGCTTGTTTAATTATTATTTCCCCCACTAGACTGTATAACTTGTTTGTCTCACTTACTGCTGTATGCCTAATACAGAATGCATGGTCTAGCATTAGGAGACACTCCATAAATATTTGATGAATGAATGACCATATTTTAAAGAGACAGAATGGCTCCCAGGCAGGGATAATTTCACCATAATATTATTAAATGTATAGACATGTCTAAATAAAGAATGCATCAATCATTAAAGGAGCTAGACAGTTTGGAAACACAGGACAAGGTAAGTTATTGATGTAAATGCTACAGTGCTTATCCAAACATACTCAGAAATGAAGGAATATTCACTAATGGACTTCAAACACTATGGTCCCATTAGTAAGAAAATCCCATTTATGAAATAGACATATCCAGCTATTTTAGTCAAATGTCACTAACTTCCCATTTTGTAATTCCATAACCATGTAGCAATTTTGTAATTATTATTTGGTTTCCCATATAAGTCTGTCTACAGGGAGAATGATATGCAAATTTGGAATATGTCAGGTCTCTGTGATGGTAAATTCTCATGGGGAATTAACAAATTGCCTGCAGATTATGGTGTACACTCATTATGAACCAACGATAAGTGGATCTCATCCACTATTTGTTCTTTGGACACTTCAACCACTCTTACTTGGCTTCTTAGGTTCAGTGGCCACAGGTTGTGGAACCAAGCCCTGGATGCCCACAACAAAGGGTGGAAGGAGTGTGACCTTAGCAGGGACCACGCCCTATAACTGTCAATTATTTTTAGCCCTCAGTGGCTTCCTGGCTAGTTCAGGATTATTTGCCAAAGAACCATAGTTCACAAGCAGGATGCTTTTATAACATCATTGTCTGGTAGATCGAGAGAGTCTATCTCAGAATTTACTCACCATGTTGAGTGATTTCTAAGACACACTGACCAAAATAACAGAAATGAAAGGTTTCTAAAAGCATTCAAAAAAAAGTGGCCAAGTCAATCAAAGTCACTAGAAATATAGGCTCTTGGATCTGATGCTACGGAGTAAGGCTTTTGGTACATTTTTAAAAACACAGTCATTTCAAGCCAGCAATAGTGTGTTAAAAATATCACAGCAATGGAGAACCTGGAGCAGTGACTCACACCTATAATCCCAGTGCTTTAGGAGGCCAAGGCAGGAGGATTACTTGAGGCCAGGAGTTTGAGACCAGCCTGGGCAACATAGCAAGACCTCTTTTCTATAAGAAGAGGAAGAAGAAATAAATAACATTTTAAAAAATTACAGCAATGGAAGTTTATACCTAAAGAGAATGGATAACTTTCCTTTGTTGGTAGAATAAAAAAGCAGCAGGAAACTCCAAGGGCCTCTTGTTTTCATAATCACTCTGTATGATGAAAGACAGTTTGACAAGTAGAAAAACAGTTTAATAGTTTTCCATATATTTAAGGAAAAGCCTGATGATGGTTTATAATTTCAATTTTTGTAAAATGAATGAAATTACCAACATCAATTTGGTAAAAGTACTAATGCAAGTAACACAAGTAAAAATTGTACAATTGATGTAGGCAACTTGTAGAAATATATGTGTTATACCTCACGTACACTCCAGCAGCATATAAAAATGGTAGCAATTAATGCTCTGTTTCATACAGGAAAGTACAACGCCTCATTTAGATCTTTGTCCTTTACAACCAAAAAGGACATGAGATAATTGGAAACAGTCTTGGAACAGTGCTACTTATGATTTTTTTCTGAGAGTGGGTGTTAGTCTGTGGCCTTGTTTCTGTTCTCATATCAGAGAAGGGAGTCCAGTTTAAATTATTGCAAAGTACAAGCACGTTTAGCATTAGATTATACCTTTCGTTTCTCCAGTGACTTAAGCAAAACATGAGTTTTCTTTAATTAAAATATGCATGGGGAATGCTAATGAAACTTTCGGTAAGGCTATAATACTTTTTGAAAACAAAGTTAATCACACGCTGAAGAAGAAAGAAGAGAAGGAAAAGGAAAGAAAGAAGAAAAGAAGACCTAACCAAAAAGAGGAGTTAAAATGACTTTTGTCAATTTCTTGACATTTAGCACATTGACAACCTAGTAGCATACCTTTTTATGAAGACAAGACTGTGGAGGTAAAGATGTTTTACGTGTTAATAAATATGTAAGTGAAGATTGTGTTACAGGAATTCACCTGTAAGAAAGCAAGCAAAATATGTCACCATGTAATTAATATGTGAGTAGTGAGGTGAAGCTCACTTTTTTAATGTAAGTGAAGGTGAATAAGATTGCAAATCTCATTTATTTTCTTTTGTAATTTATTATCTTTTGTAATCTTTTTAACCTCCTGTCTTAGCCTGTTTGGGTTGCTATAACAAAATGCCTGAGATTGGGTAATTAATCAATCATAGAAATGTGTTTCTTACACTTCTGGAGGTTGGGAAGTCAAAGATCAAGGCACCAACAAGTTTGGTGTCTGGTGAGGGCCTGATCTCTGCTCCCAAGATGGTGCCTTGAGTGCTGCATCCTCTAGAAGGGAAAAACACTGTGTCCTCACGTGGCAGAAGGGACAGAAGAGCAAATGGATGTAGCTAGTTCCCTCCAGCCCTTTTAAAATGTTGTTAGTACTATTCTTGAGGGTTCTGCCCTCATTACTCAATCACCTCCTAATGGACCCACCTCTTAATACTATCACATTGATGATTGAATTTCAACATGTGAATTTTGGAGGGGGCACAAATAGTCAAGCCATAGCACCTCCTAATTCTCAATTTTCATTAATTCCTTAGACAAGCCTTGAGGTCACTGGTCTTTTCTTTAGTATGCTAGACGCTATCATGTAACCATTCTCTACTGAACACATCTGGACCCCTTGCCAACTCTGCCTGCCTGGATATAGAATGAGTGGCACCCATGAAAGACTTCGGGGATGTTAGAGATGAGAGGGACTGTATTATCCAACTTTCATTCTCAAAATAAAGACAACAGGAGCCCAGAGAGAAGACCCAGGTTGCCCATTGTTATGTAGCTCTTAGTGGCCAAGCTGGTGTGGAACCTCAGGGTTCCTAATCCCAGGTCCAATGCTTCCTCCAGCACATAGGCTTCCTCTATCCCTCACAGAGTATCATGGAAATGACACTGGACCAGTATCTTGATCCCTGGACTTGAGATCAACATTTGCCACTCATCAGATGTGTGACTTTAGGCAAATCCAGAGGCCTTGGTGAGCCGATTTCCCAATCTTTGAAACAAAGGGCTGAACTCTCTAGGTTCATTTCTGCTTCTACTTTAATCTGAAAAGATGGTTATCCTCCTGAGGAGAAGCACCTATTTCCATTTTTAAAGTTTATGTCCATTTAAAAATATATCTTTTATTTTTAAATAAAAAGACAAGGTCTCACTATGTTGCCCAGGCTGGTCTTGAAAGTGCTGGCAGAGTTGGTTTCTTTTGAGACACTCTCTTCAGCTTGTAGATAGCTGTCTTCTCCCTGGGCCTTCATGCTTCATGTGGTTTTCCTTATGTAACTAAGTCCAAATTTCCTCTTCGTATAAAGACACCAGTCGTATTGAATTAGGGCCCATCCATAAGACCTTATTTTAAATTAAGTATCTCCTTAAAGACTCTATTTCTAAATACAGTCACATTCTGAAGTTCTATGGGTTAGGATTTCAGCATATGAATTCTTGGGGAAGATAATTCAGCCCATAACAGAAACCATGTGATAATATTTCTTCCTTGATAGTTTCTCTTTTGAGAAATGATGTATTTCTTCCTTTTCCCTTCAATGGCATATTTTTAGCCCCTTTGAGAGCCCCTTTATGAAGACTAAGAACATGGATCTGTCTTTGAAAGCCACAGCATTGGCAGCTGTGATTTCAGTTTAGGTGAAGGTGACCTTATATGGGCAGTTCTAAAGCACCTCTGGGAAAGAGTGACAT